AAATTAAAGGTAATATAGTTGCATACCCCTCAAAATTCAATATGGCGTCAGTTAAAATGTATGAAAAGTTAAACTTAGAGGTTGATACCCCTCAAAAAAGTTTTCAAAGCCAAGCAAAAAATTAAAAGCTACCTAATTGACCCCCTAGATTCAACCCTTAAGCTAGACGCATGTATGTGAGGGAAAGATGGGCAGATAATGATTTTTTTTTCTCTCCATGTTTTATGTCTCATTTGCCTCATTCATTTTCCACAACAACAAATAAATTAGGGAAAAGATTTACGATTTGCTTTACAAGAAAATAAAAACTTTTTTTTTTGAAAAAAAATATGAAATAAAATTTTTTATGTTTGTAGTTTTGTTATTGCTGGCTTAATGATATCTCAAGTGGAAATTTTTTCTACTTTCATTTACACTACACTGCACTACATTCTATATTTATCGGCATTTTTGTTCAATTTATATGGAAGTAAGTATTTGTTACAATGACCGATAATTGCTGGGTTCAAATGTTCTGTAAGAATCTCCACTGAAAAAGAATCGAAAACCACGTGTTTACTGTCTTGAAAATAATTTTAAAATAATTCTTTGATGTTCTGAAACTCATTAATGATCATAGTTTTTACTGTGCTGCAATATGAAAAATATTTCTGAGTTGCTAGTTTATGGAAAATTTTCAGAGACTTTAATGATTGGTCTAACAGGGAAACTTTTGAAGAATGGATACGGACGGGATTAAATATTCTCTGTCTCATCCTTTTCCTGATTCTAAGTCTAAATGGTTCTCAAGAGAATCAAAATGTTGTTCCTTAAATCTAAAGCTATATTCCACCATATTCTGAATAATTCTATTGAATCATAGCAACAACCCAAGATAGATCAAAGATTTTCTTCATAAAAAAAAAAGTTCTATTCCCATTTCATCTTAATCTCAAGCAATCATCCATTCATCAACTCTACCTCAAAAATCCTCTGAGAATTTCCTCAAACTCATGCAAATAAACTTATGCTGAATATTTAACAAAAAAAAGGTATTCGAGAATTTTCTTGTCGAGAGAAAAAAAGCAAGAACAACAACAACGCAGAAGCAATGGAAATTCCTCCCTAATTTAACTTTTTTTCTCCTTTATCACATCAATTATTATTCTTTATTCAAAAATTGTTTTCTTTTACAACATGAATATTCGCTCAAAGAATGCTACATGCTGAAATTTAATGTAAATTACAGCAATTTATAAAACTTTCTTTTGATATCGAATAGATTGTAATGTAAATAACTTATTTGGGGAAAACTTTCAGTATAAATGGATGTGATGGGATAAAGTTCTTAAACATTAAAATTGATTCATCCTTTGACACAAATATTTTCAAAACCAAAGCTTTAAATGTCAATGGGTTGAAATAAATCTTTAATGATAACGAAGCAAAAAACAGGGAAGGAAAATTGAATTAGAAAGGAACTAATGCTTTGCTTTGCTGTTGGTTACGGTTTAAGTACGTGGGTTGATTCCATGAAACTCTTCCACCTTTAAACATAAATTTTCATTGTTGCTATAAATTTTGGAGTAATGCATTAAATATTTTATGTATTGATTGCTGGATGGAATATAAAACTTATGGAATTTGGCTATTAAAAATCAAACGAAAGCAATAGAATTATAAATGTTGTCTAAAATTGTTTTGGTTGTGTAGGGAAAAGGAAAAGAGATTTTATTAGGAATTACAGCAAAATGAAAACATCAAATTCGCTGAATTAAATGTAAGAGAAATTCACGAAACTTCCAGTTCAGATTTGACATATTTTTTTAACAGAAACATCCTCAACAAAGCAGCACAAAACAAAATCAGCAATATCTAAGATTTTCTAGAATTTTTTCAACTTATTGTTTACAGAACAATCTAGAAAGCCGAAAGGAATTTATAGTCTTGAAACTTTCGGAAACAAATCGTCTTAATCTAGTCAGTCGTTTGAGGAATTTGCTAGGATTAGAAAAAACCATTACATTAGGCTGTTGCCAAAGACTTCTCAAATTTCTAAGACAATCATAAGCTGTTGCTGAGTACTTTTGTAAGTTTAAAATTTCAATTACCTTTCTACATCTATTTAAAATTTCCAACCTGACAATCTCAGTAAAGTTGACGAAGTTCCCCCTTTGCTGCTTAAGTCCACGAAAATTGAAAGATAATTGGAGTCACCCTTTTTAATTTCAAGAAACTTTAAAGGTAAATAATTAAAACTTCACCAATTAAACTTAATTAATTCGACTGTTCATTAGAAAACAATTAACTAGCTTCATGAATAGATTATTCTAATAAATTTACCATCCCTCTTTTAAATTGATTTTCTTATCATCATTAAGTCCAATTGAATTTAGGAATTATGGCGTTTTACCCGAAATCATGACACAAACACGTTCGTATAAATCAATTACACATTATTACATAAATGGTCTAGGAAAATTGTCAGGTGTAAATAATATCGTTTCGAAATTTCATAGAAATGATTGAATTAGTTAAGGGGATGAATTTCATTACAACAACTTTTATGTCTTGTAATAGACGCAATAAAATCTGATAAGCACGGTTGACAGATCATTTCATATTATATTAATATCAAAAGAAATTTCATTAGTTTTTGATTTGTAGAGTAATTTGATGTGACATTTACAGCTAGAAACTTTTCTTTGTCACTAGTTTGAATGATGCAATATCTTGTTTCTTAGAGAATATTAGGAATACAGTAGACTTAAGTAAAATATTGCAAAGGAATTGATTTTTAAAATTACAAAATAAACAAAGGGATGTTTTGATCAAAATCAAACTATTTCAAGATGATGCAACCTTCTTTGAACTTTGAACTAATTTAAATATAATAATATGTTTATATAATATGAATGAATCTTAGTAACCATTGTTGAAACAAGTTTTAAAAATTGAAAGTTATTTCTTAATAAAGTTTAATTTCTACTTACTTGAGAACGGTGAATATTGAGATTACCTTTTAATTTCTAAAGATATATCATAGCTCTTTTTGAACCATCATCGGTATGTAATAAATATATGATTTCAATTTGTATTTAATTTATTGAATTTTCACCAAAATTTACTTTTGAAACTGAAATTTTAAATTCTTTCGCAAAAAATGCTTACTCCAATCAATTTTAATTTAACATCTCATTCTTAAGTTTCAAATCTAGTTAACAAATTAAAGAAGAAGAAGAAGAAGAAGAAGAATAAAGAAATCATAATCTAGAGCAGGATGATAAGTGAGTACCTCCAACCTTAATTCTTAATGCCACTTCATGAAATATTCATTGACAATTCTAAACCCAACTCGAATTATAAACTTCAAACGCTCAAAAATATCTTTAATCTCATATCACATCCATAAAATAAGTATAAAATCCATAAAAATAATTTTTGCTGTTGGATGTTTTTAAAATTCCCCCAAAAAGTAGAAAAAATATTTCAACCTGTCAATTTGAGGCTGTTTCATGATCGACAATTTAATTAAAAACTTAAGATGAACATAAGAAACGTGACTGAAAATTAAATAGATTAATACAAAAATCGATTGGGATATAAAAGTAGTAGTTCCTGTCTTCAATAAATTGACTTTATCCTCATAAATTATTCCATATTCTTCATCCAACAGCATTGATTGAAAAAGAGACCCTTGAGATCATCCTAAGTACATATCTTGTAGAGCAAAAGTAAACATTGCAGATATGTCTATATTTATGACACGATTGAATGAATTCCTAATGCATCTATAAGTGTGCGCATATTTGACTAGCACTTTATGCCTATCAGCATCGAACAAAAAAAAAGAACATAATTTAATTTAGGTTTATGGTGTTCTACATTATCGAATCGTGTCTGTGTTTAGCTTCGTTCCTCTCTCAATACTTTACGTAATTTTATAATGTTTACTTCACAATAGCTGGTCAATGCTCTCTCAAGTCAATTGCTTTTTTTTTCAAGTTTCTTTTACTTTCTCCTCACAACACGCATTTCTTTTCTTTTTCTCATGAATTTTATTATTATTTTTTTTTTTGGGAGGTCCACAGCACTTCTGGAACTTTTCTTGCTGCCTTCTTATGCGAGATCCAATAAATATGAAAATTGAAAATTAACATCGAAATGAATTTTTCTTTTATGAATTGGGTCACGTCGTTATTTTTCACGCTTCATATTTCAACAAATAGACTGTTATAGATACCAGCTACAGCACAGCTAGAAAGTAAAAAGTATTGTTTAGAATAAAGTTAAATGGGATTATGGTTTTAACATCCAAAATTAATTACATTTCACCCTAATTGTGACAGCGGGTGAAGCATTTTTGCTTTTGAGTCCTTTTCGTTCCATCCATTTCAGTCATTTAGATCTCCAACATTCGTAGTTGTGAGTTGAATGAACTTACAGACAGGAAAATTTCCAAATTATTTTTTTGGGGAAAATTCTTTCCAGATAGAAAAATGAGATTTTGTCTTTTTTTTATGGGATAAAAAGGGAAGAAATGCGTGGATGTATGTGTGTGCATGACACATTAAGCATTTATAATAAAAGTTGAGGGTGGCTCCGTACTCAAACCATACCATGGAAAGGGAGCATGTTACAATGCTTTTCTTCCTGATCCCTAACGAAAAATAAGGATTTTTTTTTGTTGCTCACCACTCATGCTTCCTTTTTCGTTGAGGCCATAAATTGGATGGAAAGAAAATTTTCTTTTTCGCTTCCGTCTTTGAATTTTCTCCGCATTCTTCCTTTCTAGGATGTGGAGAAGTGAAGTCAATGAACTTTTGTTTGTTCTCGTCGAAAGAAATTTGATGGTGCGTACAGAGAAAATAAGGCATGTGGATCAATATTATCGCACTTGCTTTCTGTTTTTTCATGTCTTGTGTATCAGAAAATATTTTTATGACTTGATGAAAATATATTGGATATGATTTAGGAGAATGAGGGAAACAGCTTTTAGTAACAAGGATATTAATTCAAAAGCATTTTTATTTTTGTTTATTTGTATTTATTAACAAAAGCATTCAATCCATAATTATCAATTGTACTAAAATCTCTAATTAATTCATCGCTCCAAATGCGACATCGATCATCCCAAATAGCCTTATCATCCGGAAACTTAAATATTAATGGGATATAATCTAAATCTAAGTTATTTTTGATGCGAGACTCAAGAATCCAACATTTATTTTTAGATGATACTTTATTAAACATTCGAGTGACCAATGGTGAATAACTTGATATTGTAACATGCTTCAAATTACAGCAGTTCATTATCTCATCAACAGTCAATCCTTTAATGAAATTATCATCAGTCCATCCAATATAAATGTTCTCTAACGTGCTAGAATGCCTTCTAATGAATGGATTGTAGATGCTTTCATCATAAATCTTGGTAACGGAAAATGATTTTAGTTTCGGGAAATTGATGCTTTGATGCAGCCGTTGATTGAACAGATTTGGTATTTTGAGCGTTTCTAAGTTCTTAAAAGATTGACTGATGTAATAAAGGAAGTCCATGAACCAAACATGAGTAGTAATTTGACTTAAATCTAAGTACTTGATATTTGGAAAAAGATTCATGACTAGCTTTGCATTATTAAGGTTTCTTAATATACCGAAAAACTTTATGCTCTCTATGTGTCTATTTCTAGGAAGTTGATTAAGGATGTCTTCATGATTTTCCGATAATGTTGATACTGGCATTTCTAAGTGCTGTAAATTAAGTAGATTTTCGAGTATGAATTTGTGGACAATAGTCTCAATTGGATATAGAATTTTCATAGATATGAGTGAATCCTTCTGCAGCAATAAAAATTTGAAAAGTGGATCATTCTGGTCATTCTTCATCGATGCCTTGTCAATTTTAAGACTCTTCAATCGAAAATTAAACTTGTATATTTCAGGAGATTGATAAAAGTTCTCACAAATGACACCTCCAACGCCAAATTCCTTAAGATTCTTCTGTCTTTTTAATAAGTTAATTACACTATCACATTCTTCAGTCAATAGCGACGAGACTTCAAATAGCTCCAATGTTTCTGTATCAAAGAATTCTACAATATCAATATCACAATATTCTATGCGTAGCTCCTTAAGATTAATTTTGGCTCTTTTAAAATTATCGTCTATTCCAAAATCATCAATGAACGCGACAGCCTTTGCACTGAAAACATCCAGTAATGTTAGTTGACTGAGAACTTTTGCTAAATGTGTTGATTCTATCTTACAGCATGATATTTGAAGTGACTGTAAGTTGTGCATACTAATTACATCCATTGTACTTTCATTCAGGTTTTTCACCTTGATTATTTGGTGTTTCCTGTTCAGCTGTTTTGCTTTCTGGATCATACTATTGGTTTCTTCGAGATTTAACTGAAATTTCTTCATTATCTGCCTTGAATTGCTTATTATGGTGTCCCATCTATAAGATTTAATAATAGTTGTATTGTAAATAATGATGTTTAAAGCTTAATTAATTAAATTACCTTGAACATACAAGACAGCAAGTTTTGACCATTTTTGGACTAAGATGGTCAAATATCTTGATTAATATTTCTTCTGGAAGTTCCATTACACTATTTGAGCAAATAACAATTAATAAGCTATTAATCTAGTTAATATTCCAACTTTTGTGATTTTTCTATGCCGATTAAAAATGTAAACAAAAACCGTCCACAAATTGTAGAACCTTCCCTGACAGTCAGTTCCGCGAAAAAAAGTTTTGTTTAATATTTTCAAAATATTTTTTGATAAAAAATTGTTAAATTAATTGAAAGAACTGATTACTTATTGAATCACAGAACAAACACATCAACAAGAAGGTGTGACACTTGCATACCAACCGTTAATTCCTTTTGTTGATAGATCCAGTAAAAGAATTTTCAATTTTTTGAAATTATTTTATTTTAACTTGAATTTAAGTCATTTAATACTGTTAATTAACATTCATTGACTGATTATAAGTAAAAACTGTGTACTTTGCAAGACATCAAGCCATAGAATCAACAAGATAAGCAAAAAGAACATCATAAACAATACACGTCACAAAAAATATACGTGTATTAAGCTTTTATCGCAACTAGTGAAAACATTACTGTAAAAATGATTAGAAGAAAATTAATTAATTAAATCACAAAAGAACCAGTGAATTTAACTAGTTTATATCAAAGAAAAAAAGACAACAAAAGTTATTACCATCAAATCATTTAATTATCGTGGATTACAATGGCTTTTCAAACATTAGTTCAAGGATTCTATGAAATTCCGGTGGTTACGAGAATTTACACAACAGCCTGTGTATGGTAAATGTCTAGGACTTGTTTTTTAAAGATAAAGTAACTGATCCACTTGATCTCTAACTTGACACGATTCCTCTATTTTTAGCACAACATTTGCAGTTCATCTGGATCTAATTTCCCCATTTCAACTGTATTTTAATCCAACATTAATCTTACAAGGCCAAATATGGCGTCTAATTACTACCTTCCTATTTTTTGGCACAATTGGATTTAGTTTTCTGTTTAATATGATATTCACATATCGGTACTGTAGGATGTTAGAGGAAGGGTCGTTTCGTGGAAAGACTGCTGACTTTATCATGATGTTCGTTTTTGGCGCTGTATTTATGATTATCTTTGCCTTTTTCATTAATCTTCTGTTCCTCGGTCAAGCATTCACGATAATGCTTGTGTATATTTGGTCACGACGAAATCCATTCCTTAGGTATGTGCTTTATATCTACGTGTCTTATATCTTACTTATGTTATACTATTACTTTCAGAATGAACTTTTTTGGATTATTAAATTTTCAAGCACCGTACCTTCCTTGGGTTCTATTAGCCTTCTCTGTGATCCTTGGTGATATAAGTAAAGGGCATAAAATAACACTCAAAATGTTAATTCTAAATTTTTCTTTTAACTTTATTTCAAACAATTAAAATTTATAGGCAATGCCATATACATTGATCTTGTCGGAATTGGCGCTGGTCATGTATATTGGTTCCTCGAAGACGTCTTTCCTAATCAACCAAATGGCAAGAAGCTCCTTAAGACACCACAATTTCTTAGAAATATTTTCGATGAGCCACCTGACACTGACGATTATGTTGTCTTGCCTGAAGATCGTGCTGGTGGTGCTGCTTTTGTTTGGGGAAATGCTAATGTTGCTAATAATAATAATGACAACAATCAGCAAAATCAATAAGTTTTTTTACGATATATCTTCATGAATAAATTATGAATAAAGTTTTTTATTAGAAAAATAAGAGTGATAAATTAGTCATGAATTACAAATGATAAAAGCTAGACGGTGATTGGATTGAAAATTAATTGGTTTGGAGTTAATTATTTTAATGATGGATTTTATAACGGTTATTAAAAATTTGAAGTGAATTTGTATGGCTCTGAAAAAGAATTTGTATTGTTTGAGGAAATTTCATTTGGATTTGTAGAGTTTTACATAGCATTTGTATTGTTTTCATGACAATTGACAAACAATTATATTGTTTTCGGACACTCGAGACTTCAATTCAGTCTAAAGGAAGACTTTAGGCCTTAAAATCAATGAGAATTCTAGAAGATGCTGAAAATTAAAGTTAAGAATTTAAAGAGAAACACATGAAATATTGTAAAAAAAATTAAAATTTTTTATTGTTCCAAAAAAGAAAGAAAAATGGAAAAACTTTAGCTTCCAAAAAATCAAAAAAAAAAAAAGAATTAAATTTTAAACTTTCCAATCTACTTTCAACCTAGTAAATTTACTCAGTTTTGAGTGTCACGAATTATTCTAATCACTATAAACCTACATCAATATGAAACCTGATTTATTAATCATTCTTTTGAGTTATTTTATTATTCAAATTTATTTGAGTGCATTTTTTCAAATAAAAAATGTCACAAAGAGAATTCGTTAGCCGCGTACGATAAGTTAAGCGACCTCCGACTTGATTTTTTTTTATGTAATTATTATTGTATTTATCATTTATGCAACAAATCCGTAAAAATTTTCATATCAAAAATTTCATGTTTTGAGAAAGTTTAACGATTTAGGAAGATCTTAATGCCTTCCTGTTCCTATTTATTATTATTATTGACTATTTTAAGTTATGATATCAGTTAATATGTTCGCTTATAATGTAATGAAATACAATAATTTAATATTTCATAGACTTCGATCTGTTGTGTATTTTTGCGTTTTGCTGCAGCACGTAACGAATGACTTAATATTCATGTGAAAATTTGATAGCACATAATCTTTTTTTGCATTTTACGATTCTTTGATAATTCTTTCTTTGATTTTAGTGACTTTAAATGCTTAATTATTGTATCCGGACTGGATTTTGAGGTCATTGTGCTTTCATTTGGATTATGGACTGAACTAGCAACGTATTACATCAATATGTTATGTTGTTCTGGTTTATTACAACTCTGCTGCTCATTATCGCTTGCTTACATATTCCAGCAACAAAATCACAAAGTATTGTAAACACAATTGACCTTCAACGTCCAATTCCGATTTTTCTTAGTATATAAACTTTTTTTCGTTGCGATTTTCACATTCCTTATGTTAAAAATCTACTTTTAGGGGGTGTTGAATTTTTAAGATTCGAAAATATCACAAAAATTACTTTTTTTGCAGTGGTCACAATTTATGTTGCATTGATGAGAATTATTAATTTTATATTGTGTGATATTTTCAGAAAACCTAAAAAAACTCACAAAGCAATTATTTCAGCCTACAAAACTACTTGTCTTGTTATTTTTTCCATATTCAAGAACCACTACAATTTCTGGTTTTAGCCTTATCGTTTAAAAAAGAAGAAACCGAAAGAAAAATACTAAAATTATCAACAAAATTAAGTTCCAAAAGTTCCAATTCTCTTGCTATGTAAATTTTCATATATTTGCTATGACAGAGAAAAATCAAACAATGTCGTCTTAATTTTGTATAGCTAGTATAAAGTCGTAAATCTACTTATAAAGTTAAAAAATAAAAAATTTTGTTTGTATAGTCTTCAAAATAAAAGGTTTTGTGTAAATTAATTAATTAATTTGTAGATAATTTAGCATTAGTGGGATTCAATGATTTTCACAGATTCACCGTTGCTAAAACCACTGTGATATCGTCTGGTTTGCCACCTAAAATTAGAGATGAATTATCAATTATATTATAACGGCTTTTTATATTCAAATTGAAAACCCTACAAATTCTTATGAAACATTTGTAGGGTTTTCAAAAATTTACTCAATTTGTATAATTTAACGGTTTTGCAGCTTAAAACCTTATATTTGAAAACATTGGAAAGGCTTTAAAACACTTAAATCAATTTTAATACATGCCAACTAATACAATAATCATCCTAAAACAACAGTTCAAATGCTGATAAGCCTCATAAAAATATTATTTTACGTAACTGCACTCAGGCATGCTAACAAAATATCTTAATGTTTCCTTTAAAAATGATTTAAGTGAGGTAAAAGCAATATTCTAAATCAGTCAAAGTAAACAAATGTGCTTTGTCGATAGCACAAAAAGTGTGCATTCCAACGAACTTCACTCACCAATTGTGTTGATATTACTTTTGCGGGCATTTTTAGCGAATGGTGACATGAAAGCTCTATCAAATGATAGTTGCCGTGCCATAAGAGCTATTGTATTTGCAGTCATTTGTAATTTAACTTCGTCCTTTTCACCTTCAATGCCTTTAAGCGTCTCCAATAAAAGATCATTTGGCACATTATCAAAGACGCCATCGGTAGCGACAAGAATCACATCTCCGTCCTTAACTGGAAAACTATGTGTATCTGCCGATTCCGGAGCATCACTTAGAACACGATTTGCATTGCCTGGTGGTGGTAAACTCAATTGAAATGGAGTGTTGAAGTAATGTTGCTGTTCTTCTGAGCGATGAACAATTTCGCCCTTTCGAACAATCATAAAACCAGAATCTCCTATATTTGCTGTATAGATAGTGCTTGTTTCGCGATTTAATATTAGCACACATGCTGTTGAGCTTCCTGTAAAGGTTTTAAATTAATAACATCATTAAGAATGTTTGTAAACTTAATTATCAATTATTGAAGAGAATTATTATAAATTATATGCGTAATATCTTTAATAGCATGAAGAAAGTCACATGCTGTGCATTAACACAATTTTTAAGTTGATTTACGTAGTTTATTTTTAATTGAGATTCATGCATTGTTGTTCTCTTGATGGAACTTTCTGTAGCAAAAAGCAAGACTTGGTCTAGAATTAAGAGCTCGTCTAAGGCTTGCAATGATTCAAAATCTTTAAATTTTATAGATTACCATAGACAAAATCGATAAGACTGATTCATTGACCTGAATATGACTCAAAGTGTACACAACATTTTTTGAAGGTCCCTGGAATATTTGGGATAATAACAGATAGGAGAAATCCTTGCATAATCTCCATGAGAATGAGTACACACAAAAATTGCTCATAACGTAAACAAGTAAGGAACAAAATAAACACAACAAATATTGTTTATACCAGCAATTTAGCAAGTGATTTCGTATGTGAATGACGTCAAGAATCTGTTGCAAATTTCTTGGAAGAATAAACTTCTTCGATATGCTTATGTCTTGAATGCCGTCATTGTTGAATTTATTGTGGGACTTTTTGACAAATCATTGCTATAGTCAAACTAGGGAAGCAGGTAAACGACTGCATACAAATGCTATGGAAAATCTAGTACATTATTCCATTATCCCATATTTCTTTTATATCCATCCTGCAACATGTGTGTAAAACGATCTATAATTTCACAAATTTATAATTTTCATGCATCCTTTGGCCCATTTGCCTTCCATTTTGTTTCTGATTCTTGATAATTCATAGACAAAAAGTCGCATTGCTATAAATACAAAACCTTCTGTATGTCTTTACACATCATTTGTTGCTATTGATGACATTAATCGTTTAGTTGACAAAATAAAAATCCAAAGTGACATGCGACTGCTATTTATAGTCATTATTATATTCAGAGAAATTTTTTACAATGTAAATGAATTGTTGCTAAAATTTGAAGCATGCGGTGTAGTCAGGAGGGTTTAAAAGCAATAATTCGATGTAAAAATGCTTCAACTTATCCTGAAACCTTCTTAATTAATTTCTGGATACGTCCCTGTCTCAAACTAATGAAAAATTGAAATTCAAAAAAGCAACCCTGAATGATTTTTACTATATATCCCCTATCGATACAGCAACAAAGCTTCCTCACAGAAAAAATAATATAAAAATAGACTTAAAATTTCATTATATGAATCACATGATTCTCGCGTATTGAACATTAATATCGTCTTCTCTTTCTATCTTCCCTCTTCTCATTGAAAGATCAAAACATTCGTGCATGAAGGTACATAAATAAATAAAATTCAAGAAAAGAGAAAAAAAAAGCCAAAAATGCTAGAGGTATATAATTGGTCTAGTTTTGTTTAGACGATGAAAATTGCTTTTTCGGCTACGATAAATGTGAATTCAATTAAAAATACATTAACACAATCAAGAGAGAAAAAAGTTTGTACTTCAGACTTATCGCCACAAAATAAGATACTTTTTACTTTTGTTTATAAATAATATAAGCCTTTAATCTAGTAGCAATAATGATCACGTTTTTTTAGTCGATTTCGAATTGCACTTGATCATCATTCTCATCTTAATTATAGCCACAATTACAAAAAAAAAAAAAACAAATACAAGAAAATATGAAGAAAAAATTATTATTATATTGTAGATTCTCGTCATGTGACTTCGATAAAGCAATGAATGTTGAAAAAAGCGGTCAGATAGCTTATGTTAATAGCTAATTGTCATTGATTTAAAGACATACAATTGCACGTACGAATGCGATTTCTTTAAGATTTTTGAGTACACAACATGACTGGACCAGATTACAGGCACCAGAACAAGAGAGTGCTGCTATAAATGCAAAACAGAGCACTTGATAGCGATTCTGATGCACATATATTAGAAAATTTTACTCGGTAGTCTAGTGGTGAGTATCTCAAGTATTTGAGAGACGTACGGAAGTTTCATCAAGCCAATTACAATGAATTCTCATTCAATTAACACATAAAGCATAAAAAAATACATTATTCAAAATGAACAGAAACTTGAAAAACTAGTTGTAAAATTGTAACTCACCTAAAATAGGTTTCTTATGATCTAATAATTCGTGATAACTACTTGATAAGAGGGTTACAGGTAGTTGTGGATTAAAATTACTATTTTGAACTAATCTTTCACATGTTCGCATCAAAAATGATGAAAATTCGCCTGCATCAATTCCATAACGCGACCATCCACCAACTCCATCGGCGACACCTGTGAAAATGCATTAAGAAAATGAGAAAATTAGGTCTTGGAAAAATGAGGAATGTATAATTAAGGTAATGACATAAAAGGCATTGAATGAGCGTCTTAAATTAAGCGAATCAAAATGAGTAAATTAGGGTAATTGAATTATTGAAATCTGTAATAATAGTAAGCAATTATACGATATATTTTTCTATCCTAGACATTTCTATAGGAAAAAGCTACATATATTTTTTATGAATGATAATCAACACACGTCGAGTTTTATGGACAAACAAAATAGACTCAGGGATCAAAGTCCACATCTTTAAAACAAAATTATATTCTCGTCAAGAGAAACATTTTCATTTGCATGATTTGCTTAATTTCTTGTGTAGCTAGTGAACGAGTAAGAATATTTGTCGATGTGGTTACATAACTCATTAAATTTTATTCACATTTCTTTCTTCTATGTACTGTTCACGTTTGTGCAAAAATCGATAGTAATTTGAGAATATCATGGATATTGACACAAAAAAATGTTCTATTTACCTATTACATCAGCCTGAGAATTACTGCAAGCGAACCAAGCATCATCACCAAATTTCCCAAGCTTATATGTCTTACGTAGGTCCTTAGGAAAGCCACAAACAACACTTACAAAGTGTGGCTGATTTGCTGTTGAGAGAGTTGGATCTAATAATGTCGAAAATTTGTTCCTTAATATTCGCGATAAAGCACGAACTGTAATTATGGATGATTGCATTGTTGATTATTTGATCATTCACAGCACACTGAATATCGATATAAGCCTAGGAATAAGCTCCTTTCCGTCCAATTTTACTCTCTGTACTTTTTTGTTCCAAATTTATTTGAATATTGATTTTTTTTTCTTTAGCACATTTTCTCTTACTACGTATTTCAGAATTTCACACTTATTAATCAACTTGTTTTGTTCGAATTACACTTATTTTACATCGAAGACATCTTAGATTAATTAAGAAATCATTTATCACCAATTACATGCACTCTATGCTGCTTTTTGGCTATTAATATTATTAAAATTTACTTTTCTTACTTCAATTCTCTTTCTTAATAAATTAAGGGTCGTTCGTAAATGATGTCAATCGAACAAATTTGGGTTTTAGCCCCTCCCCTTTTTTTCACAAATTTTCTATTTTATTTTCTTTTTTCTATGATATATTCAAGCCCTCCTCCCTCCTTAAAAGCTTGACATCGTTTATGAAGCAACTGTTTTTTTCGTCGGACTACTTTTTTCTTTGGACATGACTTTCGTTTGAATATTAAAAGTCTGTTATTTTAATCTTGTGATATTTCATAATTACACTTTTTTTCTAGCTTACAACCATCAGTAATAACCCATTAAGCTTCAAAATATAGCTTCCAGACTGAGTTTGTATCATGATATTGCACAAAAAACAAATTCAGTAAACAATCCGTGTCATTTGGTCTACAACAACAAAAAGTAAACAAATTTGATATGCCGTAGCTTCTTTCCATTAATTGTGGATCACAAAAATTGTCAACAAATCTAGAAAATTTGAAGATTAATTAAACTATAATGACTGACGCAATAGAAATAGCACTGATTAGTGATGATAGTGGACAGCTGAACAGCATTTCTGTGTGGGATGTTCGAAATGGAACTCAATTAATGCAGTATAGAGGTTTGTAGAATTTCATAATATTTAAAGCCTGAATAATTTACAATAAACTTTTAATAAGGCGGTGGTGCATCTCATAAATCAACATTAAATGTTATAAACGGGAAGTTTTTAGTCACAGCGAACAATTTGAAGCCTCTTTTAAACTTTTGGGCATTAAACAACTCGGATGCAATACAGAATATAAAGTTTGTCATGCCGGCACGTGTCAACTGTCTTTCAGTCTCGAATGATGGATTATATCTTGTTGCTGGAATCAAAGAAAACATTTACATTTGGCAGATATCGACTGGAAAAATGCTTACGATGTTGACTAAACATTATCAAAATGTTAATTGCATTAAGTTCACAGATGACGGATCTCATTTTGTGGTATGTATCAATCTATACTAAGCTATCAAGATTTTTGGATGTTGTTAATTAATTTTGACACTTACAGAGTGGTGGTGAAGATGGTCAAGTCATCGTCTGGAATCTATCAGCAGTCATTGGAGATCGCTTCAACACAGACAACATTGAAGCACTTCATGTATTTTCTGATCATGCTTTGCCAGTTACTGATCTATGGATTGGAATAGGAGGTTTATCTGGATTATTAGCAACATCATCAAAGGATCGAACATGCAAAATTTATGACATGGCATCGGGAACATTATTACTAAGCTTAGTGTTTCAAGAAATCATCACATGTCTCACATTAGATCGAATTGAGACGTCATTATTTATTGGAACAAGTCAAGGAAACATCTACCATCACAGACTCCAACCACCGCCTAGAACACGTGAATATCACATTACTAATGATGACGAAATCAACAATAAGTTCAAGGGACATACAAAAGCAATAACGTGCCTAGCAATCTCATTAGATGAACAGACATTGTTATCAGGCAGTGAAGACTTTAATGTCATTATTTGGAACATTCAAAGTCGATCATTACTTAAAATACTTCCATTTAAAGGAGTAATAACGAATGCTATTTTTATGTCATCCAGTAAAGTTATGTTTAATCACGAAGAGAAATTGGAACTAGTTTCTAGGAACTTCCAAAGAATGATAAGTAATGCAGATAACAAAGAAATAGTTGAGGTAGTTCATGAGATGAATAATGAAGAACCTGAGAATATTCTACAATGCTACACAAATAACAACAGCAATAATAGCCATAAATATTCAAGGACAACAAGGAATGATACTTCAGAAACAAATAATTCTAAAGCCGAACTCGAGAGACTCAAAAAAGTTAATAAAGAATTGTTTGATTTTTGTGCCAAGAATGTAATGACATAATAAAGTCTTCGTATAGATCAGATACACTTGTTGCTTCTGGATTCATACATACATTGCCTCTTTAACCCACCATCTTTCCTGTGCTGCTTCTGCTGTTTTTTTCTATCAACAATGAAAATGCGCATGATTCATGCTCAGTTTTTCCATCCACTAATCTCGCATACAATTATTGAGTATGAAAAACTCCAACTGTGCATTGGCCTTTCTCGATATAATTTTGTCAGAGAAAATTTTCTCATCAGTTGGAGTTTTCAAACTGAAGAATGTGGTCGTAAAAGGAAAAGTTTATAAAAAATAAAATAAATAATTATTAACAATTATCTTCATATCATTCTTAATTTAATTAAGCCAATAATAAAATAAAGTTATTGTGTGTGCGATATTTGGTTTAAAATGATTGAGTGTATTTAAATATTTTGAAATAAACAGCATATGTAGCATAATTTCCGTTATTCATGTGAATACCTTTTTCGATTATATTTCTGTATTTATAACTTTATCAGTGTTGTTATTAAAGATATCTGCAACTTGATAAATATTTGAAGAATCTGTCTGGATTTTGTCTTGGAGATATTTTGTTTTGTGCATAGGCAGGAAAATAATTCCAATTTTAACGGCTTTCTAAAATTTAAAATCTATATGATCTTAAAAATTTGAATTCAAATGGTTTTCAAAAACAATCTTTAGTGCCACTTTTCACTTGTCTGAATGCACTGAAATTCATTTTGTTAAGAATCTAGCATATAGACCTGCAGTTTAAAGTGTATTCAGAATTTACGTTTTGCACACGAGTCCCCCGTCAATTTAAGATTGGATGTACCCTGTAAAGTATCCTTACCTACCTTTACTAGGTATAAAACCTAAAATCTTTTTGATTGATTTATGAACAAATTTCATAAAAGTTATCAGTCTTATCTTGTCTATTTTTTGTCTATGCTACAACAATTTTATATCATTTAACTTACCAGATAACAACACTGAACCTTATCATCATCAAATTTATAGTGAAAAACATTTTGCATAAAAATTTCTGAGAAAAAAAAGATATCATTTTATTATTTGATACAGGAACATAAAATGTTAAATGGATCTATAAAAAAATGTGAAAAAATATAAAACATTATTTATTGTGATTAATAATAGTGTTAAAATCATAAAACTTTATGGATATAAAAGAATAATAACAAAGGTATATTACGCTTTATATTTGCACCATTATGAAACAAAATAGCATTTTCGATCATTGATAAGAAAATATAATGTATAATATTGTGAATTTTCCTTCTTATTTACCCCCAAAAAAAAAACTTTGTTTGCACGGTGAGAATGGAAGAAGAAGAAGACATTGTTGTTACTATAAAAAGTATCAATTCTTTGCGCATTTTGTAGAAAAATAAACGAAAAAAATACAATACCTTAAATAACATTAAAGATATTTGAATGAAAAAATCTTTTGAAAAGTTAAAGCTTTTTGTGTTGATAAAGTTGAGATTTAAATGTGGAACGATAAGAGAGCATTTCCGATTGAAAAAAGTCCGATATGAAATTTTTTAAAAATGATCAATTTTTAATTGTAATATGAAATTTGAATTTTTACGATTTTTCGACAACATTACTATAAATATAATAAATTCAACAAACAATCGACTTTTAACTTTGAACAAAAAAAAAAAAAACAATTCACCCAAAATTCGTGGAATTTAATGTTCCGAGAGATTCAAAAAATGTTTCCCCTTCCAATTAGCAAATAAACATCAATCTTCAGGAGCAAAAATAATAACTTAAAAACATAACACTTTAGTGTCTATTTTTATCTACAGACTAAGCATATGTGATGAAGTTCAGTGGTTTTACTGTGAATAATAGGATGTTTTATAAGCATATGCATACATATCAAAACTCATAAATGCATGTTACTGGATGTACCGCAATTAAAAATATTTTATAAAGTGCGGAGAGAAGACCACTCTATTTTTGTGAATAGATGGAGATTTGTTTGACTTTACTTGAGATTGTTAACAAAAAGAAAGGGATTTGAAGAGAATTTTATGATAAAAAGGTTGAAAAGATTGCTTAAAATCATCCATTCGACAATTAGGGTTGAAAATTTGAGAATAAATTGGATTTTGGTATACATTTTGTCTCTCCTGTAGTCAGTTGGACTTAAAACTGTGTTTGTGACCAGAAATTGTAGCATATCGGTTCGAATTCTATTCAAGATGAGTTTGCCTCGTCAATTATGACTTTAAAGACACACGATCCCTTAGAAAAAGTTAAAACAACCCAACAAAATCCAAAATATAAAGTTAAAGATATGATTTTATATCCATTGAATCAGACAAAGTGAGGACAAGCTTCTCATAATAAGCAGATAACATCCAATTTTAAAGGAATATATGAGACAGCTAGTTCACATAATAATGGTAAATAAAATGACAATCTCAAAGAAGCAGAGCATGTAAAAAAAATTGTGTTTACCGTTCGCATATTAAGCATCCAACAAAAGCTTTTTTGTATGCGATCTCAATCTTCCATCCAGTTTTTATATTTTAAATTTTCACAGCATGCATAACGATGATGACCTTTCAATAGATCTTGTATCGCACATTAATTTATAAATCTTTTTTATGAATAGTGCAGGACTTGTATGGAATATATCGTAATGCTGTTTAGGATGTGTCTATTGAAAGGATAATGATTGTATAGGAAAAAGGCACACGTCAATTTAAAGTGGAAGCATGCTGATATTTTAATTTTCAATTTAAGGACCTTTTTTACGGGTTTCAAATTGTCCCAAGAAGTTCCTTCAAAGTATTTAACATCAATTTTTGAAGGGTTTAAGGTAAACTTCAAGTGCAATGCAAACAATTTCATTCGAGATACATCAGAAAGGAATCAAAAACAAAGTTTTGAACAGCATATCAATTTTCTTCTCAAACGGTATTTTCTTTCATCGACGAATGGAAGTGAAGTGTAGTTGATGGGAAAAAAAGGAATATTGAAGAGTTTTATATATTTTTTTTTGCGTAACATAGAGAAGCAGTGAGTGGAAATGATTTCGTATGGATAATTATAAAAAGGAATGAATTTGAAAACTTTTGTCATAAATCATTCAATTTTATGGATGTTTATACTCATTTCCCTCGAATAATTGATGGAAAAGGAATTGAAATAATAGAGTAAATTCATTAGCATAATTCTAAGGAAATGGAATAATTTTGAATATCGAATGAGAACAATCCCTCGACTGCTGATGACATGACAGACGAAACCGAAAAATGTCACAGAATCGAAGATGTTGGTGACGAAATTACAGTAGAGACAATTTATAAGGAAAAGGGGTTGTTGCACTTATGATATACCAGGTGCGTAGCCGGGGGGTGGGGATTTGTCCCCAAAATTGTCCCAACGTAAACAGAAATTTCTTTATTTTGCTAGGGTTTTTATGAAAAAATCACAAAATACCCCCCCCCCCCCCCCCTCTTAAATTTTTCCATTCAAAAAATTTGTTGTCCCCCCCCCCTCTTTAAATTCCTTGCTACGCCCCTGTAATATCCAGCATTTAGAAAGGATGCAAATTTTCTTGCTTCAATATCCATGTTTCAAATAGTTGAATAGGTTGTTGTTCTCAAGGTGTGCACCAAAACATTGAAAATAAGTGATAAACATTTCATGCTTCATTTTCAGTTACTTTAACTTTTTTTTCACCTTCAATAGGTTTACAGATTTGATATTTCTTGCTAGGTTCTAAAAAAAGAACCATAAGGTCAATAATGACTAAAAGAAGAAGGGAAGAAATCCTAATTTAAGTTTATTTCAAGATGACGTCCACTTATTAGACATAATTTTCGAAAAAGAATCCTATTACATTTTGCATATAACACAAAATACGTGTCTGTGGCACAACTCTTGCTATTCATTGACTGAAAAGCTCCATAAGCAATAAACATCAACTGTTTATGAGTATCTGTGAGTGTTTTGAAAACATGAATCAAAATCAAATTTCGTGGAAAAAAATATTTTGCCGACATTCCCCAGTGTAATTTGTCTTTGCGAATTTTTCACTCAATTTTATTAAGGAATAAGAAGATGTGAATTTTCCCTTAAATTATCAAGAATATTTGACGAGTAAAATGTAAAATAAAATGAAATTTTTTTTCTCTTCTTGAATTTATTAAAGTTTAAGACATGTCTGAATTTAAAATGGGGAATTAAGCTTGGCGCTTTTTATCAAATTTTCTTTCATTTCGATTTTAATAAATGCAATCCCCTTAAATAAAACATGAATCTGTGGATAATTTGAAAAGATTTTTTTTTTCTATGATTTTTAAATTGAAAATTTGTTTTAATGCTTTGATTTACATTTTCTGAGATTTACATAGCTCTGCAGATTCTTTTGTTCAATTCATGTTTAGCGATGATTTTATTTAATGAAACGTAAAGTATTTCCAAACGAATTCTGAACTAAGATTCCAATAAACAAGAATTTTTTGAGCAATAGGACATACCTGACATTTTTCGACAACATTATCAATTGCTCACAACTCAATTAGAGCTAAATTTCACCTACGTTAGATAACGTACGCAAACCACGATAAAATACGTGCATGAAATATCCATTTTATGAATTTCTTTAAATGCTTACGTTAATTAACTCACATACGGCATTTCCAGTAATTTTAGTGATAATTATTCTGTTTTACGACGTACTTTGCCGTACTATTTTGCCGTTAAAATGACTGGCAAAGCTTTATTGATTATTAATTCATTAATTTTTCTTGATAAAAGTTTATTCAGTCATCAAAAAAGTCATAGAGGAATTTCTTATCGAGACACCCTAGTAGGTTGATAGCTTATGACGTCTAATGTTTGAAAACAAAAAGCAAATGATAGCCAGCATTGTGTGAGTCACAAAGTTTGGTTTCGAATTTGAACTTTGATTCCTGAGGAATTTTGAAACTTTCACTTTGTAAGTTCGTGGGCGTGAAGTACGACCGAGACCCATATCGACACAGTTCAAAAGTTATACCAAATCTCCGCCATATGTACTTCACACTTATTTGAACCACATTTTCTCGTTAATGTTAAAATATTATTAAAAAGTAATTAATCCTGAATCAAGTGTTTTAAAATAAAGATTTTTTTTTTTGGTTTCCACAGTGAAGAATATGAACAAAATTCAGATGGGGTAGTCGAAATTTTAGATTTCGATTTTTTTTAAGCTATGCATTACAAAAAGTAATATTGGTATGTGATTTATGTCAGAATTATGTCAATTCAAATAAAACATCCAAAAAATTTTTTTGACCAAAGTACACCATAGAAAATCAATTTTCAATTTTGGACTAGGGGCGACCCTAGTCAAAATCAATTTTGTCACTTTTTTCTTCGAAAGTTTATCCAAATAGATTGAAACTTTGCATAAAT